AGGATAACATTTAGGGGAGGGTTAGTGTTGGGGTTACATTATGGATTAGTGTTGGGGTTACAGAAAGAGTTAATATGAGGGCTAAAAAGGTGGATTCATGTTAATGTTAGGTTTACAGAAAGGATTAGTGTGAGGGTTACAGGTTGGGGTTACAGAAAGGGTAAGTGGGTTAGGATGATATGTGTTATCAGATGGTTTAGTCTTAGGGTGGCAGGTAGGGCCAGTTTTAGTGTTAAGGGATGGGTTAGAGTTATGGGGCTGGTTAGTGGTAGGGTTACATGGAGTTTTAGTGTTAGAGATACAGGAAAGGTTAGTGTGAGGGATTGTACTATGGTTACAAGGAGGGTTCTTGTTAGTGTTGGGTTTACAGGGAGAATTACTGTGAGGGTCAGTGTTAGGATTACGGAAAAGCTTACTGTTACAAGGATGGTTAGTGTTAAAAGCAAGGTTAGTGGTACAGTAAGGGTTAGTTTTGGTGTTACAGGAAGGGTTAGTGTTAGGGTTACATGAAGGGTTAGTTTTAGGGTTATAAGAAGGGTAGGTGTTGGGGTTACAGAGAGGATTAGTGTGTGAGGTAAATTGAGAGTTAGTGTGAGAGATAGTATAAGGGGTACAAGAAGGATGCATGTTAGAGTAAGGCTTACAGGGAGGGTTAGTGTTAAAAGTAGGGTTGGTGTTAGTGTTACAGTAAGGGTTAGCATTAGAGCTACAAGAAAGTTTGGTGTTGGGGTTACAGAGAGTATTAGTGTAAGGGTTACAAAAAGGATTAGTCTGAGACATAGTGTAAGGGATACAAGGAGCGTTCATGTTAGAATAAGGCTTACAGGGAGAGTTAGTGTTTAAAATAAGTTTAGTATTACAATACGGGTTGATGTAACAGGGAAGGTTAGTGTTATGGTTACAGGGAGGGTTAGCGTTGAGGTTACATGGAGGATTATTGTGAGGGTTACAAGGAGGGTTCATGCTAGAATAAGGCTTACAGGGGGGGTTAATGTTAAAAGTAGGGTTAGTGTTACAGTAAAGGTTAGTGTTGGGGTTACAGGAATGGTTAATGTTAGGGTTACATAGAGGGCTAGTGTTAGGGTTACAGGAAGGGTTTGTGTTGAGGTTACAAAGAGGGTTAGTGTGAGGGTTACAAGGGGGTAAAAGTGAGAAATAGTGTAAGGGTTACAATAGGGAGGGTCAGTGTTAAGTTTCCAGGGAGGGTTAGTGTTACAGTCAGTGGGTGTCCATGGGTTACTATTAGTGTTAGGGTAAAGATAGGGTAAAGATTAGTGTTAAAAGTAAAGTGTTCAAATCCTGAGCCCTGGTGCTAAAAGCTCATTTGCTTATCTCCTCTCAAACTTTAACTATAAACTTCAAGTTTTTAAGAAATCCGTAAACATGGTTTTCCTCAACACATCTACAGTAAAATGTCAGGATTGTTGAGTCTGCCGCTAAATGTTTGCACTTGTTTTTTAGTTGGAGAAGTGATTAGGAAGCAGCTACTGTGCTATGATGGCCACAGTCCCCTCTCCACTGTACTTCTCTAACTGGAAAATGGTGCTTTGTCTTCAGCTGGCTTTTCATCTGGAATGCAGATGCTCTTCTGTCTCATAACAAAGCTAGTTTGCTCTTGTGGTTTTCAGATGCCACGGTCACTCAGCATGGACACTGCTGCCAATCTAAGCACTGGCTTTCCTTCTGCTGTGCAGACATAATACTACACAAATAGATAACACTAAATAACTCCTTAAGAATGGAAGATTTAAAAGATAGATTGAACAAAAATCTCCTGCAGATTAATGCGGAAAATGTTTACAGAGAGAAGGCTGCCTTGAATTTCCGTTCAGAAAATGCTGGTTGCTTGGCTGTCTCTGACTTCAATATAAACTAACCAATATAACTAACCAGAAGCAAGCATGTAAAGGGTAAAGTCAGAACTCCTGATCTGCATATCTGTGGCATAGTAACCCTAAATCAGTGATTGGAACATATGTGATTAGCATGAGAGCCAGGCAACTTCTATTTTCACATGGACAGGTCAACAGCCACAGCCTACATATCTTTACCAGCACAGGTTTCTTTGAGGAAAACAGTTTCATGATATGAATCTTCCAGCAGTATATTTAAGATGGGAGAAGGTTTCGACGCTTTGGTGGGTTTGTATTGCTTCTCTGATCCCACTAGAGGCATTTGTACTGCAAAATTGCATGGACATTTATTCCGTGCAAACTAAAGCAAAAAGAATGTTATTAGTATAGTTTCTTTGGAGAACAAATGTAATTTCAGGTAAACGCCACCTTATGGCCACTAGATGGAGCAGAGGAGCATAGGAAGTAAATACTTATCAGCTCCATCTTGTGGCCATAATGCGGTATTTACCTAAAATTATGTTTAATCTGGAAAGAAAATATGCTAATAATAGGGATGTTCAGGTACCACTTCAGATACTAGTGCTGGTACTTGGCATTTTCACAAGAACTACCAGGGTCACAGGTGCTGCAGCTGCAACAGGGCTCTGGCGCTCCACCGCTGTCCTGAAATCATTAGTCTGTATTGTTTTAGAAAAACTGTCACATGACAATAAACAAAAATGTATCAGTACTTGGTATTTGTGATTACTTGGACAAGTATCGGTATCTGGAAAAAATGGAATCGTACATCCCTAATATATATATACTGTGTGTCAAATCATACATTAAAACAGGGGTGCACAAATCCCAGGAGCCCCGTAGCCAATGCTCCTTACAAATGACAGCTGCCTCCTATCTTTTGAGTTTTTCTGTAGTCTAGTCTGCGAGCTGGAAAAGTATCAATACTTGTACTTGTATCAAGCACGGTACTTGGTATCTGTGCATCCCTTGCTAATAATATTCATACAGCATTTGCCTCCATTCACATAGAACGAATGTACTTTATATGCAACTTTGCAGGTAAAGGGCTCTGTGAATTGTTTATAAAACACCCCGAAGTAATGAGAAATCCAAGTTTTAGAGTTGTCACAGGAGCAGAAATAAAGGGGAAGTTTTCCAATGGGGACACTTGCTTGGAAACACGACTGTCTAAGAGAGGATTTCCCTTTATTTTGGAGAGATTTAATATCACGTCCTGTTGTGTTTTCATGACAAAAGTGAAAAAAGGAAATCTGATGGGTTATGACCCTCCCTTACTCCATTATTTTATTTATTTATTTATTTAATTATTTATTACAGGTATTTATATTTATATACTATTTACACCGCACTTTACAAACTGCACATTCACATCAGTCCCTGCCCTCAAGGAGTTTACAATCTAAGGTCCCTATTGCACACACATACAGGGCCAATTTAGACAATTAACCAATTAACCTTCCAGCATGTCACTAAGAAAAGGAAAAAGTAAGGTCAGCAGAACACGGGTCCTACATGGTTCATAAAAATCTCTCAGGGCACATTATAACACTTGCTTATCAATTTAGTTGCATTTTGGCTCTGGGATAGTTTTCAGAACTCAGGAGAACAATTGATCCTCAAAGTGCTTCTCTAAGCTCATTAAACATTGTAACAAACAGCTGGTAAATATTTTACAATGTTGTTGTACTTAATTTATGTTCCTCTAGCAGTAGCAGTAGTTACACTTGGAAGACCCTGTAACTGCAGCAGCTTTGTGCTTCAAGGCCCCTTTCATATGGGCGCCTTCAGTTCCGATCAGCAGGGGATCAATCCATGCTCGGATCCCATGCTGATCGGATCGGATGTTACCGTGGAAACATCCTTTTCTGTCCAGTTTTTTCCTCTATCTTGTGATGGAGAAAAAAAAACTGAAATTACTGGACCCATGTTGGTCTATGGGGAATCAGATGTAAACAGACATGTATCGGGACACAGGAGAGAGGTAACCACCAGCACCCCACCACTACCAAACCAAAACCCCACACAGCCACCCAGCAACCCATTTCCCCCCACCGTGCACCAGGCAAAGAAAACTCTAGGGACACCCCTGCACTCTAGGGACTCTAGGGACACCCCTGCACACACACATGTGTTACCATTTTTTTTATGTGTCTTCAGATTTAAAAAAATTGAATACAAAGACAATCATTAACTAAAACCCGTTTATATTTCAAAATAACATTTGGGCTAAGATGATAAGGGTGATGTGGCTTCTGAAGGCCAGGAGTTATAAGGGTCAGTTAGGCCATTGCTGTGGTTTCTCTTTAGTAAGAAGGCAGCTACCAGACATGCCTCTCATACACCCCAGTGAAGCCAGAGAATGGTATGTTTTATTTTTATATTTCTATGCTGTGGACAAGCTGCACATGGAGTGTATGACCACTTTGAAATGGTAACTACTTAGTTCTTTCCTGTTCATAAAAAAGAGTGAGAGAGTGAAAGAGAGAGAGAGAGAAAAAGAGAGAGAGAGAGAGAGAGAGAGATGAAGGGTTATTCACAAAAGGGTGAAGAGTTTGGAGAAGGCAGGAGAAGTGAACAGTCTAGGACAACATAGCTGAACTGGAAAGTGAAAGTGAGCTGAATTTGAGAAGTTTTCCAAATCAGCTATTTTGGCCTAGATTGTTCACTTCTCCTGTCTTCTCCCTTTTGTGAATAGCCCTGATGGAGAGACCGAGACCGACCATTGTGGATAATGGCTAAGTGAGAGTTTAATTTTGCTGTTGTACATATCAGTCTTTCCCCAGTGAGATCACATCTCCAGTGCAGAGATTGTTTTATCCCCTGTAAGATCTCACCCCACTCCTGCACATACCTGCTGTTATTCTCCCTGCACTCCTCTCCTGCACATATTACCTGCTTTCATTCCCTCTGCACTCCTCTCCTGCACATACTACCTGCTGCCATTCCATTCACATTATTTTTGAGCATATATTGCCCTCTAGGACACTTATTTAGCATTGTTTGTTATATCCGCAACCTTTGTTCCGGAAAAGGCACACCGTTTTTAATATAAATATATATATCGTATATAAATATAGGTTATAATTTATCTATACTGAAGGTCTTGCATCTGTTTCTTTTCAGGTGATTCTCTAGTGGACAGATGAGAACAAAAGGATGACTAGCTGGGCCAGCCGCTTTCTCAATGGTCTTATCTTGTTTCTCCTGGTGATGTCTTCAAAAGGTACATTCTATTTTGGTATACAGTTTAAGAGCTGCTTTTAAAACTGCCTACAGCCTCACACACAGCAATGAAAGTACATGAGTCCAGGTGCCTTTAGAGCTCATTTCTAAATGGACCTGGAAACCTGTCATGCTTTGCTATGGCTGAATGCACTCTAAACGTTTAGTAGCGTCTTGGTGCATTCAGTCCATCTCATTTTACACAAATAAGAATTTTCTGCACCTCAGGACCGTTTTAGCCTGGTTTTATGCAACTAAATGCACCAAAATCCTTGTAAACAAGTCTAAACATGACTAAGCCCAGCGACAACTAAACACAGGAAAAAGTAATCTGGGCAGGATAAAAGTTGTTTATACTTACCAGATAACGTCTATAGTGTTTAACGCAGATGGCCCTTGTGCATAAGGCCTGAGGGTTTTGATCAAACAGGTTCCTGCCATGAGCAAAGGCATGGCTCCAGTCTCGGGTAGAAACCTCTAGAGGTGGCCTGAGAGGTTATTTTGCATTCTAGAGCCCGACTGCTTCACTGCACTGTGTTCTCAATGTTGAGTGGAGTAGACTGCATGTGGGAGCAAGAGGGTGCCAAAAAATGTATACATATTTTCAATATAATGATATACCTATAGCAAAACACACTTGAGGGCAGAGACTCATGTGAATGTGCAACTATGTAAAGCACTGCATAAATTGTCGTCTGTATATAAATACCTGTAATAAATAAATTAAAAAAAACAAAAGATGAATACATGTTTGACTTCTGCAATTAGAGGTGCTCATTAGCATCCAGACACTTCTGATTACAACAAACTACTGCTTGAGCAACGTTGGCCAAAGTGTTTGCTTGTATCACTGCAGGACTTGTTGCTGTGCGAGGCCTTCAAATTGGTCTTCTCGAACGACAACCATGCTTCCTCCATTTTCTTTGACTGTGCTGACTGTCACATGGTGACGCTAGCATTCATTTGATTAACGCTATCTATTGAGCGAGCGTCATACTACACATTGCTACCATAATTCAATTCAACTTCGAAAAGTAATACATAGATAACATCTCTTAACCTAGGAGGTAAGAGGGAGTGTATGCTATGTATCATTGTGTGCAAGGCTCCTTAACACAACTGGACCATGAAGAACGTATTACCATTGTCTGCGATACAACCTTTACTGTGTCATTCTGCATTCCAGGGGCCTTACTGACAACATAATAATAGCGTGTCAGTTCCTACTCTAACTGGTCCTCTTTGCCGCTAAGAATTAACCTTCACTTTCACAGATGTTGAATCCCATTACACTTGACATATAAATGTCTCATGCACAAAGCCTTGTAGAGAGAGATCTATGTCACAGTCTGACACAATTACATTCTTTCACAAACTAAAGTGAGTTTACAGAAAATATACATTTTATTATGACAACATTAACTGAGGAAAATGAGCACTTAACCCTGCAGTGTAAGGGTAGCCCACACTCACTGCAAGGGTTAAGAATTTTCTTTGCCTGGAGTTTTTCTTTAAAAGAAAATATTGATGTGACTTTCACATTTGTACTTGTTTGCCATTCCTTATTTTGATTACTTGATTACTATCATTTATAGATGCACGCTCTAGTGGTCAGCTGGGGTGGGATTAGCAATCAACCCTTCAGCAGAACTACATTTTTATTTTTTTTGCAATACAAACACTCTGAAATTGCAAGTTAAAAATACTGCATGCATATTATGCTCCTTTTGCATTATCCATATTACCCATACAATCCATATGCCATCTTGCCTTGTCTGGTCTTCGGCATCAGTGGGAGGTGATGAAGGTTGTGCTACCATATGAAGGAATGAAGCAAGTGATGTAATAATTCCCTCATTGGGAGTTCTTTGTAGGAACCATTTTCCTGTAGTGTAGGACATTGACATACTAAGTGGGAGGCGTAGAAGGTGTGGACATTCTATGACCTCTAGACTGTGAAGCTTGCAGGGCTGAAACAACTAGGTCATGGAGAATCCCAGGTGGAGAGATCTTTTAAAAAAGCCACAAATCACATACGGGGACATTTATCATGGGAGGACAGTCAGCAATGGCTTTGTGACTTTTTTTGTTACTTATGTAACTGTGTTTCACCTTCAGAGGCTGATTGCAGCTTAATTGCGATTAGGTGCATACATTTGCAAACAGGATGCATGCTGCAACAGTATTTGAAACTCAAATTACTAACAGGACTGCTGTTCAGCCAATCAGTGCTCCTGAACACTTCTTAATATAGTGCAATATATACATCCAGTATATATTATTTGTATATCTTATCTGCACCTTTCTGCTGCTTTTCTCCCTGGCCATCTCCCCCACCATAATCAGGGGCTGACTTGCAACTTTTAGCCCAGAGGGCAAGAACAACCCAGAGGCCCATGGTGCAGCAACTTGGCCCCCCTCCCGCTCTGCCTCTTCCCCCGCCTTCTTCCCACCCCTGTCTGCCTCTTTTGCCATCCATGTAAAAGTAGTGCTAATGTATTTATCAGTTTAGGAAATGTAAAGCACACTGGTAGTGGAGGGATGCCTCGTCAGGGCTGTGCGCGTGCATGACTGCTGCGCCACTGGTAGTTCTGCCACTAACTCAGAAATACATTGTACAGCAATGCAGAATACCATCAGCTATAGAGGACTAAAAATCCCAGCAATAATGACTACCAACAGCTATAGAGAACTACAATTCCCAGCAATACCATTATACAGCAATGCAGAATACCATCAGCTATAGAGGACTACAAATCACAGCAATAAATATTACAGCGATGCAGAATAATATGAAACTACATACTCTGTTGCTCTGGGTTCTCCGCCTGATGTCTCCAGGGTCTCAGAAGGGTTGTGCGGGCTCTCACCAGGGGTTCAGAGAGTTTCACGGGTGCGTGTGTGTGCAGCAGAGGTGGCTCCCTAATTAGGCTCTCAAGTGGCCAATGTGGACTATCAGGTGGTCACTGCGGGCTCTCTGCTGGTCAGTGGGGCTCCCTGGTGGTTAGTGGGGGCTCTGTGGTGGCCAGTGGAGGCTCCCTGGTGGTTAGTGGGGGATCCCTGGTGTAGGGTGACCATTCATCTAGAGCTGCAGCTAACGATTATTTTAAAAATCAATTAGTTAACCGATTATTAAGTTCAATTAACCGGTTAATCATGATAAAAACAAATGGCTCCAGGGATGGACTACTAGTTTGTATTGAGATTGTAGTCCATCACAGGAGCAAGCTTGGAGCGGTGGAAGTAAGGAAAAAAAGTGTGGTGTGCAATATAGTGAAATGGAAAGTGTAAAATTATACAGCAATCAATGCAGAATGGCACCGGCTATAGAGGACTACAAATCCCAGCAATAGTACATTATACAGCGCAATGCAGAATAAAATCAGCTATAAAGGCCGCGCCGATCACAGTGCCGCATCGCATGCAGCGGGCGGTGGCCGGGTGCAGGTGGCAGCGGGGGTCAAATGGCCGTTCGTCACAGCATCGGAGAGGCCTGGGGGGCAATTACCACCCTGCCCCCCGGCCCAGTCCACCCCTGACCATCATCTTGCTCCTCTCCTGGGCATCTTCATAACCCTCTCCTCATTTAGAATTGCTCCTCTGTCGGCTGTGTCCCCTGTGGTCACTTTACCAGCTAATATGATTGATTCATTCTGTGACAGAATCGTAGAACAAATAACACTAAATCATTCGCATTTTGTGACCGAATCGTGCAAGGCAACAGTTTTATGAACGCAAGACATGCAGCTGTAATGAGAAATGTTTTTCAAGTATAGATGCGCTATTTTTATCTTGCAACTTTGTAATGTTTGCATTTTACATAACTCTTTAACCTCTTGCCGTCCGCCCGTAGTAAAAAAACGGACGGACGGCACTGCAGCATCTGCGGAGTCGGGATAAAAGAAAACACGAAGTTTACAAACTTGAACAGAACCTGTACTGTAGAATCTGTGCCCAAACAGCTCGGGAAGAGGGCAAAAGATTAGTCATGAGTATTACCTGTGATCTCCCAGCAGCTGATCTTTTCTCCTTTACTGACTGACCAATCATGTCTTGTTCTGCTCTGTGTCTCTGCACAGTGGCAGGTCTCCCAGTTCTGACCTCCTGATGACATGTAGGGTAATTGATGAAGAAGCAGCAGCAGGAGATGCTGAGGTAGCTCAGATCTAAAGAATGAATGAAGTAACAGCAGGGAGATTCTTGCAATGCAGGTCCTCAGATACAGCTTCCTCTCCGGCAAGGAGCACAGTGAGCAGCACAGTGGTGACATCACCAAATCTCATTCCAAATCTATAGGCTAGCAGTCAGAAGCAGCGGTTCCTTACATGATCTCACATTGCTGATGTACCACTATGAGGCTCAAGGTACAGGAAGTGGTCTGCTACTTCTCATTTCAGGACAAGTTTACATTTTCAGGGAACTGCTTGGGCACAATTAACATATCTTAATGTTCCCCATAAGATAGCAAAGCTTCTTTTTTTGAGTTCAGGCCCACTTTAAAAAGTGACCACCAACCATTATAGTTTCCTTTTAACCACTCTTATGATGTTTTATATGATCATACCATCACAAACAATAACTTTCAGCACACATCATTGGAATTGTCTCCGACATGCTAATCAGAACAGTCCAGAATAGCTGAATTTTTTTTTTTTTCCTACAAAACCAAAGCCTCATGAAAGAGCCAATTTTTGACATTTTCCTTCTAAGGAAACAACACAAAGGAACATCATTCCACGAGCTCTATTGGAACATACTGGCTTTGTTTCTGAAAATACCCTGACAAGACTCCTTTTTTTCATGTTTTGCGCATTGCCTTATCCAAATGGGAAATGCATGAAACAGAGCAGACGTCAGTGGCTGAATTAATTCTGGCGGAGAATAGGGAGCAGCATTTTAATTTTAATTATGATTCAGTCTATTAAACAGTTCACACCAGAGAAAAAAGGATTTGTTTTCTTCTCTATGGCTTAATATCACACTAACCTACATACAGCTTGG